CGCCATGCCCCTCACCCGGAGCCAGGCTTGTGGAGCACCCCCTGTGTATGGGGAGGTGGTGGCCGCTGCTACGGACACCATCACCAGCTCCCTCCCTTCCTGGGTTCCCTTCTTTCCTGGGCGACCTCCAAGCTGCAGGCCTCAGCAGCTGCAGATAAAGGTCTACTGGAGTGGTGAGATGGCACCACCTGCTGGGGATCCAGGGTAACAACATCAAAACGGGAATGACAGATGCTCTTCCTCCTTGATAAATAGACAAGGCCAGATATCAGTAATAGACTGGGCAGGGAGCCCATATCTGAACTGTTCTTCACAACAGGCCAGGGGCAACTGACCCTAACTGTGAACAATTCTACCAGCCTGAAAAGACAGCTAGAAATCAGAGCAGAAAGGACACTGGACTTAAAGGACAAGTCTCAGAGTGTGCTTGGTTGGTTCTGTTAGTTTACTGACTTCATTCTATTCCCTTTTTTGTTTTGTTCTTGTTTTTTGATTTTTTTCTCTGTAAACCCCATCTTTGCATAGAGGAATAGCACACCAATAAGGAGGTTAGTTAGCTTGTACGTTAGCATCATTTTTTAGTTTTTTATATGGTTGTTGGTTAGTTTTTAGTCGTGGTTTGTGTTTTTCTTTTTATTTGTTTCAGTATTTGTGTCTTTTCTCACTTGCTAGTCGGTAGACTCATCTGTTTTCCCTCTTACTCCTCTCTCTCTCCACCCCCCACTGCCTGCTCCATTCTCTTCCCTCTGTTAACCAAATATTGCTTTCAGGGAGTAAACCTACAATCCCACTGCATGGACAGATTCCAAGGCAGTGGGAAGTGGGTTTCAGATTATCCATACACCTGTTGGCAGATACTGGGATGTGCAGAGAGATTCTGAATCACAGCTCACCCCTTAATCAAATCTCAAAACTACAAAAAGGACTGCCCTCAACCTACAGTGCACCTCCAGAACTGAACAAAGCAAGAGAAAATACATTAGGAAGAATAGGAGATTGAACAAACAGAAGTCAAAGCAACCCTTCCACCCCTGAATAACAGAATTAAAGAAGACAGGAAAGTGGAGGGAAGGGAAAAAGTAGGGAGGAAAAATCCGCACAAATGAAGAAAAACCAAAAGAAGAATATAGGGCTCACACAGACCCCTGGGAGGTCAGACACTGAGAAAACAGACTTCAGAACACAAACAATGAAGAGCCCCCAGAATGACTGGTCACATCCAACAAACCCAGACATCAAGACACTAATAGAGAAAATAAAAAAAATTGAGGAGAGACAAGAGGAAAATAGGAAAGAGCTGATGACAGAAGTAACAGCAGTAAAGAATACTGTGATGGAAAAAAATAACAACTAATAAGCATGGAAACCAGAATTAGCCAAGCAGAAAGCTTGAAGACCAAAATACAGAACTAACCCAAACGGTCAAAAACATAGAAAAGAAGCTTAAAACGACAGAACAAAACCTTCAAGAGATGAATGATTACTTCAAGAGACCCAATCTAAGAGTAATTGGTCTTCCTGAGGCAGAGAGAGATTCAGAGGCCACACTGAAACAAACATTTCATGAAATCATTAAAGAAAACTTCCCTCATCTCATCAGTAATACAAAAATTCAAACACAAGAGATTCAGAGAACCCCTGCAAGACAACAAACAAGAAGACCAACTCCTAGACACATAATAATTTGCCTAAACAAAGTAGGTATAAAAGAAAAAGTCCTAAAGGCAGCAAGAGAAAAAGGTCAAACTACATACCAGGGAAAACCAATTAGAATAGCAGCAGATTTATCTACAGAAACCCTCCAGGCTAGGAGAGCTTGGAGTCCTATCTTCAAAGTTCTAAAAGATAAACAATCTCAACCAAGAATAACCTACCCAGCCAAGCTAAGCTTCATCAGTGAGGGAGAATTGAAATCTTTCCCAGATATCCAATCCCTAAGAACCTACGCTGCCACCAGAACACCTCTACAAGAAATACTTAAGAATGTACTGAACACAGAAGAAAAGGAAAAAAGAACAACAACGTTCTTCACAAGAGTACAGACAAAAGATTAAAAACACATATGAACCAACTCCAAAACCAAAAGAAACACAACAAACAAACAGGAACAACAACTCTGTAAGAACCTTATGACAGGGTTCAACTCTCACATTTCAATAATTAACCTAAATGTGAATGGACTAAATGCACCACTGAAAAGACATAGAATGGCAATATGGATAAAATATCACCAGGCAACAATTTATTGCCTTCAAGAGACTCATCTCACTAGAAAGGACACTCACAGACTCAAAGTAAGAGGATGGGAAACAAACTTTCAGGCAAAAGGAACACAAAAGAAAGGAGGAGTCGAGATCTTAATTTCAGACAAAATACCCTCTAAGCTATCAAAAATTGAAAAAGATACAGAAGGCCACTACATAATGATAAAAGGTTCAAAACATCAACAAGAAATATCCATCTTAAACATATATGCACCCAACATAGGAGCGCCAACTTTCATAAAGCACCTTCTACGCAAACTCAAAAAAGATATCAACTCTAACACTATCATAGCTGGGGACTTCAATACCCGACTCACAACCCTAGACAGACCATCAGGACAAAAAATCAGCAACAAGATCTGGAACCTCAATGTGACTCTTGACCAAATGGACTTAATTGATACCTACAGAATACTCCATCCAATGTACGACCACAGAATATACATTCTACTCATCACCACATGGAACGTACTCTAAGATCGACCACATACTTGGCCATAAATCAAGCATAAGCAAATTTTAAAAGATAGAAATTTTACCATGCACCTTTTCGGACCACACTGGAATAAAAATAAACATCAACACCAACAAGGTTCCCCCAAAACCCACAAAGACATGGACACTAGACAACATGATCCTAAACAACTCCTGGGTCAATGATGAAATCAAAACAGAGATCAAAAGATACCTGGAAACAAATGAAAATGAAGAAACATCTTACCAAAATCTCTGGGATGCCATGAAAGCTGTAGTAAGAGGGGAATTTATATCTCTACAAATGCACATGAAGAAAATGGAAGGATCACAAATTAACAGCCTAACAAGCCACCTAAGAAAGCTAGAAAAGCAAGACCATCAAAACCCTAACTTCAGCAGAAGGATCCAGATCACCAAAATAAAAGCCCAAATCAAGGAAATAGAACACACACACAAAAAAAAAATCAATGAAACAAAAAGCTGGTTCTTTGAAGGGATAAACAAGATCGATGATCCCCTAGCTAGATTGACCAAGAAAAAGACAGAAAAAGCCCAAATAAGCATAATCAGAAACACAAAAGATGAAATCACATTTGACCCTGAAGAAATACAAAAGATCATTAGAGACTATGTACACTTGTATGGACACAAACTTGAAAACCTTAAAGAAATGGAGGACTTTCTGATATCACACAACCTGCCTAGGTTGAAACAAGAACAAATTGAGACCCTAAATAGAACAATAGCAATCAAGGAAATTGACTACATAATAAGAAAACTACCTACAAAAAAAAGCCCTGGACCAGATGGCTTTCCAGCAGAATTCTACAAGACATTTAAGGAGGAGCTGAAACCAATCCTACTGAAGGTATTCCAGGCGACTGAGAAAGATGAAACTCTCCCCAAATCATTTTACGAAGCTAACATCACATTGATACCCAAGCCAGGTAAAGACCCAATAAAGAAAGAGACTACAGGCCAATATCTTTGATGAACATAGATGCTAAAATTCTCAACAAGATCCCAGCAAACTGAATTCAACAACACATCTCAAAAATCATCCATCAAGACCAAGTAGGCTTCATCCCTGGGATGTAAGGCTGGTTCAACATTCATAAAACCATAAATGTAATTAAATACATCAACAGATGTCAAAACAAAAACCACATGATTATATCATTAGACACAGAAAAAACTTCTGATAAAATCCAGCACCCCTTCTTGATAAAAACTCTCGAACATCTAGGCCTACATGGAACATACCTCAAAATAGTAAAAGCCATCTATGAGAAACCCACAACCAGCATACTCCTAAATGGACAAAAATTGGAAACTTTTCACCTGAAAACTCGAACAAGACAAGGATGCCCACTCTCACCCCTCCTGTTCAATATAGTATTAGAAGTCCTGACTAGAGCAATCAGAGAAGAGAAGGAAATCAAGGGCATCCAAATAGGAAAAGAGGAAGTCAAGTTATCTCTCTTTGCAGATGACATGATTGTGTACCTTGAAAACCCAAGAGAATCTGTCAAAAACCTCCTTACACTGATAAAGGACTTTGGAAAGTCTCAGGGTATAAAAATAAGTGTTCAAAAGACAATAGCATTTCTTTACACCAATAATAAACAGAAACCGAAATAAAAAGCACAATTCCATTCACAAAAGTCACACACAAAAAAATGAAATACCTTGGCATCTTCCTAACCAGAAATGTGAAAGACCTTTACAATGAAAACTACAAAACACTGCTCAAAGAAATCAAAGAAGACACAAACAATTAGAAAAATATTCCATGCTCATGGATTGGAAGAACCAACATTGTGAAGATGTCCATCCTACCTAAGGCAATCTACAGATTTAATGCAATACTCATCAAATTACTAGCAACATTCTTCTCAGAGCTAGAAAAAACAATACAGGAATCCACATGGAAACACAAAATGACCAAGAATAGCCAGAACAATCCTCAGCAAAAAAAAACAAAGCCGGAGGTATCACATTACCAGACTTCAAACTTTACTATAAAGCTACAATAAACAAAACAGTTTGGTATTGGTACAGGAACAGGCATATAGACCAATGGAATAGAACTGAGATTCCAGAAGCAAAAACCTCAATTTCTCAACCAACTCATCTTTGACAAAGCCTCCACCACTTACCACTGGGGAGAGGAGAACCTATTCAGTAAATGGTGCTGGGAAAACTGGCTGACCACATGCAGAAGACTCAAACAAGA